TATAAATGAATAAATATCAGACTGTACGAAAAATTTGTCTTCCCCGACACTCATATCTCACATTCGTATAACTGTATACTTTCTTACAATAAGATTTAGGTGGTAGTGAGACCGGGACTTAAATTAATAGTCTCTTGAATAATACTATAAAAAAAATATATTGATAATATTCATTTTTACATGAAATTAAATAAACATCATACTCTTCCTTATAATTATATATAATGTTAAAATTTACACATTATAACAATCTATCCAATGTTATTAATACTATACCGATCATTAAATCGGTAAGGGTACTGATATAGTGGTATAACGGTTTAATCGGTGATTCACTAATTAAACCGTATACCGGTAAATTTTGATATACATATATAATATATTAACATTAATGTTGAAAAATCAATAAAAAACGATAATTATTTTTATTTTCATTAAAAAATTAATTTTAAATAAAAATCGACCAGTATGACTGATACAGTTCAATTGAAAATCGGCCGGTATGACCGGTTTTGACCGGTTTTTATCGTTATAATTGCATGGTCAGTGTAATTATTGTATCATACCTGTATTGGGATCGGTTCACCGACTTACAGGTTCAATCGGCAGGCACGAAATAGTTTTAATAAATACTAATGTATCAAATTTTGCCTAAAGTTAATCTGATTCCATATGCTCTGTGACTGTTAGACCATTACTTTGTTGTTGATAGGATCATTGGCAGCCACCATTCCGCATGCACTAACGGTTAGCTTTCAAATAAATGTATTAAAAAGGGAGAAAACTATTTGTGAGCAAGCTAAGTTTTTAAATAATTAATGAATAAAAGTTGAATCACAATTACCATATGAATCACCAGTCATGACCAATACAGTGATGATACCCAGTGAGTACTTCTATTTTTAAATTTTTATATAAGTTTTAAAAATATGAAGTATGAGAGAATATAATAAAATTTAGAGTAAATTATACTCACATCCCCTGAGTTTTAAGGAAATTACACAAACCACTCCTCCCTTTTCTGTCCTTATACCAACCACCCCTCCCTCCTACACAAACTACCCCTAAATTTATACATACATTACACTGACTCCTGCATGTTATAAAAGTGTAATATTTTAAAGAAAAAACGTGTGATGAATGTAATTAAGTTAAACAAAATATTGTATATTGTATAACACTTCAAATAGTACAAAATCGAGTGTTTCTTTATTATTTTTGTGTCATTAAAAAATACATTATAAATTTCAAAGAAATGTTTAAATAACTCTTATACTATTTTATAACGAGCCAAATAATGAAGACGCATTGACTCTTATATTATTTGAATTTGTCTACACAATATACAATATTTTGTTTTAATTACACACATCATACGTTTTTTGTTTAAAATATTACACTTTTATATCATGCAGGGGTAGTCAGTGTAACATATGTACAAAATTAGGGGTGGTTCGTGTAATGACAAAAAAGTGAAGGGTGGTTTATGTAATTTCACTAAAACTCAGGGGATGTGAGTATAATTTACTCTAAAATTTAAAAGGATAGACATACAGTAATAAAGATAATAATTTAATTATGTAATATAAATAATAAGTACAAGTATGAAGTACGGCAGTTGAAAATCAATGTCTCAAGTAGAGGTGTCAAAACGAGATATCCGGACGAATTTGGGCTAGCCCGTATCGAGTTCGGGCTAAATCGGGTCGGGCTAAAAAGTCCGGATACAATTTATGTATATCAAACTGTAGTCCAAGCCCGCCCTATGCGGGTTGCGGGTTGTGGCGGGACGGCCCGCATAATATTAAAAAAATTATTTAAATTTTAACATATTTAATATATATATATATATATATATATATATATATCATTTGATATTAATGCATAAATTTTTAACACAATTGTTATACTCAATGCAACCAAACTTATAGATATAATGCTATGTGTTTGAGCTAAGACATGATGTTAAGTCTACGAATATGATTCATAACATAACTCATTCATTAAATATTTTATTTATATTAGACTCTCAATCTCTAACACAATATAATTTGTAACTTCACTTCAATATAATAAATGGATACAGTAAAAAATAATATCACTCTGGTTTATAGTAATGATAGTATAGACTCAAATTCAGAATGAACTCTATGTGTCGAAGTATAACTATCATCATAATATTTCTTTACTTTGTGTATGGATATCTTTTGTATGCTTTTTATCAACACTTTCATTGTGAACTTTTATGTTAAATTTGGTTGTGTTGAGTTCTCTATGGTAAACAATTAAGTTCTTTTTCAGTTTCGTTGTAAAAATTATTTTATTTATTATGTTTTTGTTGTAGAAGTTAAATCTAATTAAATATACAATTAAAAAAAAGAAAAATAGAATCTATATGGTTTAATGTTCTCATTTAATTTGATACACTATTTTGCTAATGTGCTTAAAAGGATATTAAGTAGGAAAAATAATATAATTATTAACTTGATAACATTATTGTAATTTATAAATATTTATGTTATAGACGTTACTCTATTTTTTATTCAAAGTTCATAACACAATATTTAGTATATATTATCTATTTTTTTTATCACAAGTGATTTTGTAAAATAATTTTCATCTTAAGCTTATTACCTAACCAAAAAGTCCCAAAAAAAGTTTTAAAATAAGAGATAACGGGTAGCCCGAACCCGCTCGGGTAAGCCCGACTCAAGCCTGGTTTTAATATAGCCCGAATTCACTAAAAAGTGCCAAATTTAATACTCAAGCCCTACAAAATTTCGGGTTGTGGTCCGGTCCGCACGGGCCCGGCCATTTTGACACCTCTAGTCTCAAACTCATTATTCCTAAAATTTATATTTGCATTTAATTTAAGGTTAGAGCCATTTAAGATTCAAAACTTTCGTTAAAATTATGGAGTGGGATAGTAGGATACCATTAGAAGCCTCTCTTTTCTTTCTAACATCTACATATGACATTGTCAAATAAAGTTGAATGAAAAAAGAGCACATTCTCCCTACTTTTAATAAAGCATTGAATCTGGAGTGTGAAAACTTGTTTTTTTATTTTTATTTTTTTATTATTAAGGATATTATGCTCACTTTTTAGATAATGAACTAATCTATTTCGGAATTCGCGGCTGCCACTTTCATCAAATGTTGATCTCATAAATTAATTTTTTTAACATTTTGGTCATCCTAAGAATCTAGTAAAGCCTTATCCCACTAGACCAACATCTTGTTGGTAGAACTGTATAACCTTAAATTTAAATGCAACTATAAATTTTAGAAATAATGAGTTTGAGACATTGATTTGCAAGTGTTAAAATTATAATTTTGGAATCATTCCACAATTTTTTAATAAAAATAAATGAAATATTTACGTGGAATCTTAATAATATCTTATGAATATTAGAAGACTTAACTTGAGTTTTATTGAATGGAATTCTTTGCTAATAAAACTTTAAGAATATTATAAAGGAATAAGGATGTTATCGAGAATTGAAAAGATGAGTTTTATTTTTACTTATGCCTTTAAATGTAAAAATATCATATCATCATTAATTAAAGAATAAAAGTATTATAGCATGTTAATTTTGTGATTAGTTTTGCCACAACTTTACTCTGTAATAATGGAAAAGATTCTCATTGGAATATTTGATATGAAAATGTCTAGTTGGTGCAATTTCTTATAGAGTGTGGGTTTGATGAGTTTGTAAGATTGAATGAGGGATTATTTACATTTAAAGGAAAGAGGGGTGAAATGTTTTAGTCCAAAATATGTGGATGTTAATGAGACGATGATTATAATGGTAAACCTTTTTGTAGTTTTTGGTATTGGGCCTCTAATACGGTCCAAATAACCACATAACCGAAGACATAAAGACACAAATTCAGCTTATAAATTATAATGTTTAAAATATTCGGCCAATGAATAAAATTAAGTATTCTGATTATAATATAATAATATTTGGCCAAGTTACTATTAGGCAAGATAAGATGATACTTTTCCGGTATATATTTATGATGAGATATTCACTTACTCTAAGAATAAGATTTTTTAAATTTACTTCACATTTTAGCCATCAATTCTAGGAAATTTAATGATTTAGATCTACTAATTAATTCAAACTATTAGATTTCCAAAAAATTGATGACTTTGATATAAAATAAATGTTTTAAACTTTTGGAGTAAGTGAATTTCTCCCCTTTATTTATAATAAAATGATATACTCCAATATGGTTTTGTGGAATGTTTTTTTTGGTGATGATGAATGGACGATATTTAAGGCAGATTTGAGATTATTTATTATATGTAATATCATAATTTGATTTTATCATTTAGGATTAAGATGGATACAAAATTAACAGCAATGTTATTTTGTAATCGATGCATGTCTTACAATTTTAACTGCCCTTTAATTTTTCTATATGTTTTTTAAATGTGTGTAAAGATAAAAGATAAAAAGGTAAAAGATTAATTTATTATGAGAGAAATTATTAAATTCTAATAACATATATAAATATATAATTGTCCAAAATTATTTATTCATCAAAACAGGTGGTTTAAGAGATAACGTTAACACCTAAGATTTAGAGTCTACCCACATTTAAAATCTCAACATTAATGCGATTAAATATGGATGACACACAATATAAGAATTTTTCATAATACTAATATATCACTCCTAATTCATATTTTCATATTTTAATTATCATTAATTCTTAAATAATATTAATATAAATAAGTGAATGATATATGCACCTTATAACAAAAATTTGAACTCATAGTACATGTATATTAAATTAAAATATCATAAGTAAAACAAATATTAATTAAGTTTCAGATTTTGAACAAAAGACAAGGTACAACCATTTTATTTATTCATTTTTAAATTCCCATCTAACAACTTTAGTAGATAGATAAAACAACAAAAGCAGTACTACTATTAGAAGTGTAGTACATTAGTACATTAGTACAAAGTACATAGTACATAACACTGCCATGACTCACTGACAAAACCCTATTCTTAATATATGTTATATTTTTCAGTTCTCAAGCTCGTCTCTTATGCCACGTGTGAAGAGGGCAAGATTTTCTTCCCTTTTTTTTCCTTTCTTCTGCATGCTTTGTTTTAGTTCCTGGTAATCAATTTAATAATGTTGAGATAAGAAGAATGACATTATTATATTTCAATGCATAAGGTATGTAGGGGAGCACATAAATTTAAAATATTTTTTAATAAAATAAATTCAAATTTTCTTTTTGTATTGTATTCCAGTACTGGATAGTGTAATATCGAATAATAGTTGTACTAAGGTATAATATATCTGGATTTCAGTAAAACTTTCAAATGGGAAAATTACAAATAATGGAATGGCATAATATTATTGTATCCGCAGCCAAGGTTGGCTTGCTTGGTTGTTTTTTTTGTATATATTGTCCTATAAGCAATGTTTACATATGCATCTTATAAGGTTTCTTTCCATCATGCAGTAATGTTATAAGGGGTTGGAGTTTTCTGTTACTATTTCATCTAGGAGTTCGTATTCGTTTTATTGTTCTTTATTTTTCTGTAGTTATTTTGGCATTTAATCATTATGGTTTATGATAATCAGTGTCACATTCGTTAATAAGCAAAGATTCGTATACTTTTTTTAATAAGCAAACTCGTATATACTTAATACCATAATAACATTACTAATATAAGTGAAAATGAAAAAGTTACTTAACCCCACTTCAAGCATGGAGAATTTAACTCTTACCTTGCTTTAGCTAAGCAATTAAATACAATAATCAACGCTAATGACGACATTGAATTTTCAAACTTATATACATAAAGTAATAAAGTAGTATAAAGCAGGCGAGTAATGGATTATTAGTAGAAGTCGTTATTACTTATTATTGCTATCAAAACGTAATGTGTTCTCCACTATATTTGTCAAAGACAATGCTATGGAAAAAGTATAGACCATATTGACACGTATTAGATATTAATATGAATATTATAAGTATTAATTTCCTAATTTTTGATTAGTCCGTTCTTGCACTGCTTATTACTCGTGGAATTTTCTAGTATTACTAATTTCCTAATTTTTGGTATGTGTATTTACCTGAAAATAATTAGATATTGATAATTTTTTTCAGATATCCGACACAAATAAGTAATTATATATATGAATTTGATAATTCAACAAAATAAGCAAATTACAAACGTCTATGCCAAAAACAAAATATAATTCGCCCAGACCAATCACAATACTGCTACATGAATAAAATATAAAATATAAAAATAAAAAATAACAAAAAGTAAAATTTTAATTGGCCCGGACAGGAAGTGCGACATGAAATGAAACATGTGATCTGTGTCCATGTTGTTGAGCCCTTGAGCACGTGCGTTCATAGCTCCTTTTTCCACTTCCTTTTAAAGTTTTCCCATCACTCACTTTTCTGAAAATGAAGACAACATTGTCAAAGAAAAAAAACAAGACCATGTGAGAAATAAGAATAGTTGGAATGCCTCTCATATTTAGTTGAATTGTTTACAAATGATATCACTGTATTGTTTGTTGACTTGCAAAAAAATAGTGGATGAATTCCTAGTGTGTATGAGTAAAATCCAACGAAATTGGAGTTGAAATGATTAGAATCACCTTTGTACTCAAAGATTTCAAAAACCGTATGATTTTTCCAGAAAAAGGGAATCCCTCCCACCACTTCAATGCATGCCTCACACATATGTATAACACTCATATCCATTAATGGAGAGAGAAATACTCTACAAAATCAAAGAAAATAACCTCATTGTTATGATGAGATTACATTTATACCCTTAAAATTAAAGTGAAAAAAGTAACTTCTCTCTAGTAATGGAGATGATATTTTTCCTACTCGTACATGGTGGAAGAGATTTAAAAAGTTATTATTGCCAAACATCACATGTTTAACATTACCTTATTAAGTCTCCTCATCATTTTTTCTAGCCATCTAAGGGGCACACTATACGTAATGTATGTATGTTTTTGACTCCCAATTTAAGCAAGGATACAATCATAATAGTTTACAATGACTAGTAGTAATATATAGAGAGAAATTGCGTGGAAAAGTTGTGTAATTTAAAATATTGGTTGCTGGGTTTTTATATTTTGAGCATTTTTATTGTTTTGAAAATATTCAAATTTTATTTAGAAATGGATGATCTCCAAAATCCAAGTTGAATCAAATCCAGTACCTCTGTGTCGCTTAACAGAGAGTCTGAGAAAATCATGTTGCTCATACTTTCTATTTTTATACATTCATAACTCCATAAGTTTGATAATATTCAGCATGCTTGTCACACGTGTATCGACCTCATGATGAAAATATTAACCACACCAAACCTATAGAAATATGAGAAAAAAATGTATCCATCAGGGTTTTATATATTCTCACTTAATCATCATCCTTCATAATTAATTATTATTAGTTATTCCAAAAAAATAATACAAATAAATGATAAATTATATAATGACTGTATGTAAATTTTTACACCGATCATATATAGATATTACACTTAATAAATATTTGTTTGATCTGCCCAATTTTAACCAGCTTCCATACATTTCCATTACAAATGTTAAATGTATTTTGGTATTTTGGGTTAATATGATATTGAACTAGTAATTAGTTTAAACTCATTTACCTTTATAGTTAGAGTTAGTTTTAGTTAGTTAGTATTTGTATATATAGTTTATATTCATCGTAAACTATCATTCACTCAAATCATTCATGAAAACAATTAAATTTTATTCATTCAAATATTATGTAAATTGTTAATTTATTTTGATAAAATGTAAAATTAAGGAGAGGATATCGAAAGTTCCAATCAACCAAATTCCTTGGAGGGAAAGAAAATGTAGACTTTTAAAAAAGGTGGGTGAGAAAAAAGTCTAAGAAAGTGGGTGGTATTTATCATTTAATAATTTAATAAAAGAAGGGGCATAGATTCTACTCTGCCTTTTGGTCTCACTTTGCATTGGTTTGTCACACTAATTTTTTAAAAAGGAAATGACACTAAGTTTTTTAGTGGAGGTGGTGGATGGAGAAGGCGTTTGTGTTTAGCTTTACAAGCGTGAATGTCTTTGTTGTAGAATCCACAACCAAATGGATCCACCCGCTCCCTCACATTCGAATACTAGATAATCCAATACTAAAAAATATTTACATTCCATCTTATTAGTTTATGTTAATTTGTCTGTCAATTGTTAGTTAGTGTGATTACAATGTGTTATTTTAAATTATGTATACATATTTAATTGTAAGAATAACTTCTATTTTTCATTCTCTTATAATAAACTAATAGTATTGTTCTGTCTTTATTCACAAAGTTTGTTTCCCTATATAATTTAAGGGGTTTTGTTCACTAAATATTGTTTGTCATTTCTTACATAGTTGAATTTATATGCATTCATACTATGATCCCAACACAAGACAAACTTTTTATCATTTCTGAATCTAACTTATTATTTCTTAACATTTTATTACACAATATATTTAGTTTGATAAAACAAAAATTGCAAGTAAGGAATAAATTTATTATACAAATACAAATTTCACAAAAACATAGACATAGAATATTAAAAAATTCAAGAAAGTTTGAGCCACATCTTGGGATTAGTTGCTAGTTAGGGTCCACAGCAAGCATGCTCGGGTCATTACAAATGTGTTACTGGCCAAATTAACATCATATTAAAAAATGCAATAAATTAAAGAAAATGGTAAATAAAGTGGCCATGATGATAAAATAACAAAAGACGTGCAGAAGAATTCGTTAATTTATTATTACTGATTAACTTATCAACGCCAATAGAATTGTTTAATCATAAAAGAATCGATGCTTTGCATTTCAATCGGTATGTAGTAAGGTTTGCACATACATCCCCTATCCCAATAACTGTTTTTTCCTCCTATTTCTACTCAATAAACTTATACCAAATAATATAATTTTGTTTTTATAATTTATCTATTTAATTAAAAGATACAATTTAATTAGTGTAGTATACTGATAGGGACATAGATCGGGACATAGATCGAGACATGAGATCTTCATTCGATAAGGTGTAGCTCTATTAGTGCCACCAAAAAGGTTATACCCAATAATGGGATTGGGATGAAAGGGAAGAACTTGATTGATTATTGGGCTCGATTATCATTCCTTCCACCCAAACAAAAGGGTATGAGATATGCATATTTTAATCAATTTAATAAGCCTATAGTGTCTATGTATTTTGGTGCTCATAGATAGCATAAGATCTCTTTCAGGTGACCAAATCATGGGTCGCAAACCCTTTTGTACCTTTCTTATTGGGGTGGCACCATACCCTGTCATATATGTCAATATTTGCTTTCTCTTGTTGGTTATTTTATTTATTATTATTATTACTACTACTATACTTCATTTTGATTAAGGTTTTAGTCTATTTCGGTCTTCTGAAATCATGGGAAAATTGCTGGCTAAGAAAGTGCTCATGAAAATAGATCACATAATGACAATGTTAATATCAATCTCAATATTATGTTTCTTTCATAATATTTATCGTCGATATTTTGTATGATAATTAAGCAATTTTCATTTTTAGAATAATCTTTTATTTAGAAATAAATATTATGAATAAGGTAAAATTTTGATTGATGGTTGATTGTATCGATGGACAATTTAAAATGCTAATAGTATCTTATAGCCAAACATAAACATTTTTCAATATTATAGGTTTACTTAAAGAAAGCTTACATGAGTGTTTTTGATTGATGGTTGAATGTATTGATGGACACTTTGTCCCTTGCTCCCCAAAAAGTATTATGCAGTAATTGAGTTTTTTTATATGTACAAAGTTAACAAGATTCTCGGTGGTTAGGGATTAATGAGTAGCCGTTAAAATACCCATAATGAGTACCTGCAAAAATAATTTATGGGTGAGAGCAAATATCATGATATCTGTCTCGCGGGTACCTACATATATATTTTAATTAAATATTTTATCCTTAGTTATTATTAATTTAACATTATATTTGTTTATTTTATTATTACTTCATAATGAAATTTAGTACTTAGACTATAATCATGAAATTATCATATACTATTAAAAAATATTTTTATAGATTAATTATTATAAAATATATAAAAAATATAATTAAAACTAGAAACTCGTTGGGTACCCGCAGATATCCACTATCCACAATGTACTCACAAATAGTGTGGGTATGGGCACGAGTATGTAGTACCCGTGCCCGTTGCAAGCCCTACTTATGGTATGGAATTTTTGGGCATCTTTGAATGCTTGGTTTCTTGCCTCGAGAATATTGTTGGATAAAATCTCATGTAAGTTTAATTTTAGCCATGAATAAACTATAAATCACTTATTAGTTATGTCTTGTGTAATGCTACGGAATAATATCATTTGTTTTATACTTCTCATTTCTCTTATTGAGATTGACAACTTCTTTATCAGTGGTTGTATCATGTCGTGGTCTTACTCACAAGGGGCAAATATCATATTATGTAACATTTCCTCCTAGTTAAAGGCAAGATCTTGAAAAATATTTATTTAGTTATTTGGATGGTTGACATTTGGTCTCTATAGAATTATAGGAATGTCCCAATTTTTCACAAGCAGATGGTACCAAATTCAAGTCATGATTATGAATCAAAGAAAGACATAAATTTAGGAGCATGTTTTGGTTTGAAGGAACTTCAACCTCAGTTTTGAGTTTGAAATGTTATGGCTAGATTCTTATTGGGGGGACTTTGGTTCTGTAGTTGAGGTTGTTGGATGGATACCTTTCTCTTAGATGTTTTATATACTAGTTTCTTCTGTTTGTATCATTATTTTTTTATTAATAAAATCTTTTACTTACAAAAAAAAACAAGCTTCCAATAGAAGATTAAGAATCGTCTACATTAC